TCATAGAATAAAAATGTTGTTATTGGCAGGTTTCAAACCTGCAAAGTCGAAGAGAAACATATTTTAAATCTGGTGACAACTTGACCAAGACCAATGAAGATCAATGTCTGAGATGCTATCCATGAGCAAATATTTAAGATAGAGAAAAAATGTGACATTCAACAAGTTTCAAACTTGTTACACTCTGATGGAAACAGATTTTTATTCTGTTATGACAGCCACTTAGCTAAACACGACTGTGATCAGCTTGCAAGCAAACCGACCATGAGCAGATTTCAAGGTGTGTTTTCATAGAAAATAAATTTTATCACTCAGTGGCAGGTTTCAAACCTGCGCAGTCCAAGAGAAACAGATTTTGACTCTAATGATCACTTGGCAAATTTATCTTTAGCAGGTTTTGAACCCATGCAGACAGATTTAGATTCTGTCATATCAACTGCTTGGCTAAGACCAGTTAGATGCACTCCCAATGAGCCCATTCAGAAGCAAGTCCTCAAGGTACATTTATCTGCATTTTATCAGTTCTAACATTAATTTCTAACATCCCCCTTGAGTCCAATCATATGTGATCCTTCCATTGTCAGTCCTCACTCATGACACAGCTGTTAATCCCAAGACATCACAAACATCATCAGCCCACCATGGTGGTCTGTCATCAGCACTTTTTCAGAGCAATTGCTAGATAAACAGGTCTTGAAGTTAAGAGCCCCAGAAGAATTCTGATGTCTTTTGCAATAAGAGTAGAATACAAGAATCAATCATGGCGACCATACTATTGAAAGAACTGCCTTGAGGATTCACTTTTGAATAAATTCATTGGAAGTGCATTCAACTGGTCTTAGTCAACCAGTTGATACAACAGAATCTAAATCTGTCTGTGTGGGTTCAAGACCTGCTAAAGAAGAAATTATCAAGTGATCATCAGAGTCAAAATCTGTTTCTCTTGGAATGTGCAGGTTTGAAACCTGCCGATGATAAAATTAATTTTCTATCAAAACACACCTTGAAATTTGCTCATAGTCGGTTTGCTTGCAAGATGATCAAAGTTGTGTTTAGCCATGTGGCTGTCATAACAGAGTCAAAATCTGTTTCTATTGCAGTGCAACAAGTTCAAAACCTGTTGAACACCACATTTTTTCTATCGAACCCTGACTTCAATATTTGCTCACAGACAGTATCTCAGACATTCATCTTTTTTTTCATGCCAGCTTGCGCACCTAAGGGAATAAGTTGAATTCAATGGTGAGTTTTATTTTCTTGCATGCACTTACCTTGACAAGTGTTAACCTCAATGGTTGAATCTCTTTGTTCAGTGTGATGTGACATGCTCGCTCTCATCCAATAACTCAGAAATCTGTCTTCATTATATACCCTGTCTATTATCCCTGCCTCATTTATCTTCCCTGGATCCTCTTCCACCTTCACACTGAGTTCTTCCATCTCCATCTTAGTACTATCCACTTGGTCAGCTCCTTGTTGCTTCACATTGAACTCGTTGATCAACAATTTCACTACTAGGTTTACCATACGGAGGAAGCACCTGGTGTGCATCACTAATTCACTGAACCTGAGCACTTTATCACTCAGTTTGCAAATTATTGTGTCATTGTTGGACGCATTATCACATATAATACTCAGCATCTGTGTCCCACAGATTCATTTGCATATAAGTGTGTTTTGTTTTTGTGAATCATATCTTTTCTGATATGCCAAATTCTTCTAGCATCTTTGCAGATATCTCTGCAAGCTCTTTGCCAGTGTTAGACTATGAACCTCTTAGCTCACATACACCTACTAGATAGGTAAGTTTTTACCTTCCCAACTTTGACCACATCTAAAAGTGCATCCAAAGTAACAAAGTACTTGTCTAATACAAGCAAAGGTGGTCCAAAGTCAAGAAATAAAGGTCTGATGATGCACAGAGGCTCTGAAGAGCTTGCGACTAAATAGTGAGATTTCTGAGAGTCAGTTTAATGGGTATGTCGAAGTATACAACTAGCGAGAGTACAAAAGTACAACTATGTAAAACATATTGAAAGATTCAGAGATAGTGAGATGCAAAATGGCAGCAGTCAAACAAAACAAAAGGATCAATTGCATGAAGTACGACTTATCTGAAAGTGGGTCTACTAACTATGACTCATAGCAAGGGAAAGGAAGTGAAGTACAGATCAGCTGGCAAGTGAGATTATATACTACAACATGAAAGTCTGAAATTGCATAGGCAAGAACAGTAGTGAGATAAGCTATCTGGAATGTAATAAGACTTGAGGTGAGTCACTACACTGATATCCATGTAATAATGCATAAGACATGCTGCTATATGCATTATTTGAGGCTTCCTATAGGCCGCTAACATATCTGTTCCTATGAGATATTCAATAATAGACAAATGAAGTAAAAACATGCCAGCAAAGTCAAATGGACATGGACAGGACATGGTACAGTGAATTGCAGAAAAGAATGGCCCTCAGAAGTGGATGGACTACCTTTGGATGACTTAGACAGATGTATGGAGGCTTCAAAACAGTCGAGGAGTGTTGAGGAGTACTTCTGTGAGACATAGGTGGAAATGGCAGGATATGAGTCCAGCACCAGCACCATTGCTACAGTGTGTATGTTGATGGTGGGAGTACATAACTTTCTCTTTGCCATTGGCACTTGAAATAATGAGTGCAGCGGCCATCAATTTCAATAATCTGTGGTGTTGGATCAAAAAATGTAATTGAATGGTAGGGATATGGGTAGGGGTATGGGTACTGTGATCCCACACCCACACCCATACCTATGACCTGCATGGGTGACTCATATCCATGCAGTACCATACTCACAAGCTAGAGGCTGAGGCAAGCAAGACCCAACATATTGTTCAGTATCCATCAATCTGAATTATTGTACCTATATTGGGTTGCAAATATCCTTGGTTGTACTGTAGACAGAGCTTGGACCAACTTTAGAGAAGGATAGACTTCTTAGCCTGTCACCTTTTCTCATTATTGTGTTCACCACAATGAGAAAGAAATTCAACTCAGAATGATTAATATGAAGAAAGTACCAAACTAATATGATATTACATTGAGGTCTGTAGCACTGCCTAAGCTGCTATGCTTGTATGAACAGGTGCATTCGACCCTAAAGAGGTCTGCCATTAAGAACATGCTCAAGGAGGTGGATCCAAAGGGCTTGGCTTCAGCTTATGCGCTGTAACAATACAACAATGGCTGGGCACTACATGAAGTAAGTACTCAGCCAAATATACGTGTTGTGGTCTTGCACAGCCTAGTCTACTATACTTGCAAGACAAGTGTGTTTGACTCGAGGGGTTAGCTGTTTGGAAGAAGTTCTAATGTTAGTGATATAATGTGCGGTCAATAGTCCGAGCACATGAAACAATGTCCAAAGGTATAATTAGGAGTCCAATTTTTTTTGGGTTAGTGGATTAGTGGGTTTTGGGTTGCGAAAAACAGGTATAGTAAATGTTGGGGAAGTGAGCAGTATGCAGATTAACAATGATGATGGGTATTTCAGATAGAAAGAGCGGTAATATTCGCAACATCAACTAAGAACTATGAAATATTGGGTTTGACCCCTAAGCATCAGGAAACAGCTCCCTACTACTTGGATGATGAATGATACTTGAAGTCAGTCCAAAATATGTGTAAGTATGTATAAATGCAGAAACCTATAGGCAAAAGTAGCGGCAGAATATTTTGGATCCAAAGTACATGTAAACAAACACTACATGCTGCAGATGATGGAAAACATGTAATAGCGCTGGCTGAGACATGAGTAATGTGCGAAATAAGAACTATGCACCTAGTGGGGCTAGCAGGACAGGACAGGACATGAGGAGGACAATTGTGTGGGAATATTTTGGGTCCGAGTTGGCCTAAATGTCGTGTTGATCAGATAAGCATTGAGTTGAGTGGGTAATTGTCGGGCTGTCATCAGAAAATGATTAGCATGTGGCAGACATCTAATGTGTATCGGAAAATAACTGAAGACGAGCTCAGCGCAAGGCTGAGTGCTACAGTGCTGTGTCCCTTACCCAAGTAATTGCCCTTAATTTCCAGTGGCTGAGAATGAACTCCAGAAGTTCAGTGGACATTTAGAAAACTACAGAAGGACTACTATGGACAAAGTCTGGAGTAGAACCAAACAGAGTATGGACTGCCAGAGGTAGAGCTGAAGATATGAAGTTTTCAGAATCAATCCTAATACTTAAGAGAAAGACAAGAGATGAGACCCAGCTAAAACCTACAAGTAATGGAGCGTGAGATAACCTGAGCAGCGGTGATCACCACCAGCCACGATCCTCACCACAGAAAATGAGCAGATTTCACCACAGGCCACGGAAACTCGACGTGGCATGCCATGGCAGGCCGTGGTGGATGGTGGTCATGTTTGCTCACGCCAGACCATGTCAGACCACGACACATTGTACATTCTCAAAATGCGGGAGAACGTGATACAGCATGGTTTGCGGTAGTGAACATAAAACAATGCATTTGCGTGTACGATAATACAGTGTGGTAGTACTGCTAGTGTACAGTTGTATAGAAATGAATGCAGGTGCCAGGACAAGAAGCAGACGAGAATGAAGATGAGCCTGGGCAAGGGAAACAGACAAGCAAGCAAGAGCAGACAATGAGACCAAGACCAAGACCAAGACCGAGCAGGAGAGCAGACGAGGATGAGACCAAGGACAAGTCTGAGAGTCCGAGTCTGCTGAGTCCAAGCAGAAGAACAGATGAGAACAAGTTCAAGAAAGAGCGCTGGCAGATGAGAATGAGACCAAGCGAGAGCAGATGAGAATGAGAACGAGCGAAGGAGACTTGTCGAACAGGATCCTATGGTCCACTAACTGCAAATTCAGCAGTGTTTGTTTTAGCCTGTAGTTGAATTAAAAATATGATATCATCCAAGAGAACAAAAACAAACTCACAGCATCTGCAAGTTTCGAATGAGCAATATAAGGCTCTCTCTGTTGGAGAGTCAGACTATTCCAGTGTGCGTAAACTCTGCAACAGTTCCTGTCTTGCGCTGAGCCTGCCATTCGATACCACAGATGTTGCGCGCTGTTGTTGACCCCAAACTTGGCTTGAAGACGTTGTTAGGGTTTGTCGGACCTCTTTTTTTTTGACAGGCTTGGTGAGAACGTCTCCGGTAGATGTAGCAGAGGGAGGTGAAATATGAGGAGATGTGCTACCCTCGAGCGACACATTATTGAGGGCTGTTGCAAGAAATGTGAGTGTCAAAGAGCTTGGTAGTGGGACAGAATCCAACAATGGTGTGACAGATTCGCCAGAGGGTTGAGCAGAATCTGAGCTGGAGGCTGTACTGACTTGAATGTGCATAGTAGGCTGAGATTGTGGAATTTTGTCTACAGAGTGTGACTCTGGGGACATGTTACTGACAGTGTCTCGTGCGCCAGTGTTGTTGAACATGCTGAGAAACCTAAAAAAAAAACAATGTGAGATTGGTGTCCCAAAATGTGAGTGCGACTCACTTGTAAGGCTGGTCGTGAAGCTGGAACAGGCTTCTTCATAGTGATAGAAGTAGAAATACTTTCTGATGACTCGATGTTCCATCTGCGAGTAATACCCTTTGTTTCTTGGTGCGCTCGCTTTGTAGTACTGTCAGGGATGTCGGACGCTTTGAGGAAGAACTTCTCAAGGCCTCTAGTGTGAGAGAAGGGTCACGAGACTTTTCGCCCTTGATCTTGGTGTCTTTGGATTCATCTTGACAGCAGTACCTGTGGTTGGCCGATCTACCCAGCCATGATAATACTCCACTGCCATCGCCTCCGCCTTCCAGTCACCTTCGCATAACTGCAATTCCAGAAACCGAGTGCGCATGCAGCCATAGTAATATAGCTGTGTGATGCTGTCGACTTTCTCCATGCCACAGGGGCCAGGTTGAATGAAAGAAGTGTGTATCAGATACTGCGTTGGAACGAGCAAATGTCCTTTGACGAGTTTCAGACAGAATTTACCATGCTTGTCAACCAGGAACAGAGAGCTCCTGCCTTTCGTTTCCTTGGAGTCAGATTCTACAGATTCGGCATCGTCAGTAGTTCTTGTTGTCTTCCTTTTGTTGGAGCCCCATTTCAAGACACCACGGGACTTGGTCTTTGCAGAATTGAAGTCGGATCGCGTCCAATAGATTGTTCTGATGTCCCGAAAATCTTTGCAATCTAATGGTGTGTATGAGGCAAAGGTGATGGAGATGACATCAGTCAATCCTGAGACCTTCTCTGGTACTAATGGCACAAGGGAACTACGAGTTGTGCCTGTGCTGTGATCAACACAATCAACA